GAAGTCAGAAAACACGACAGACGTCTGCAACACATGGTGTAAGTCACTGAGTTGTGCTTATGAGGAAAGCTCCAGGGTTAGGTGGATCCGGGTTTGAATTCTGACTCTGTTGCTGTTCCATGGCGAGATGAGTCTGGGAGATAAAAAAGGCTTTCTCACTGCAGGACTTCTCAGAGCCTTTGTCCTGATAACATCCATTGAGAATCTTTGAGAGGGACACATAGCGACAGTCCCCAGTGTTATCCCAAGAGGACTTTGTGGGATTAGCACTCTCGGGAGCACTTTGGGAAACGCTGGATGACCTCAGACGTCACGTCAAGCTATCAAGTTAGTGATTTCTATGATCTCATTTACTCTTTCCCCAAGTCAGCAAGACGTTGGATGACCTCAGATGTCACGTCAAGCTATAAAGTTAGTGATTTCTATGATCTCATATAATCTTTCCCCAAGTCAGCAAGACGAGGAGCCGTGTTCAAAATCTCTCGTCAAAACCAAGAAGTCAATTATGGGCAGAACTAGGGCTCAGTCCAGATCTTTTGAGCCAATTTTTTTTTTTTTTTGCTACCAGATACACAGTGTGAGGAGGCCAGGCATTATGGGTGGAAATGTGTCCCCTAAAATTATGTGGTAAAGCCTAACCGCCAGTACCTCAGAATGTGACCTTATTTAGAAATAGGGCCTTTATAGAGGCAACCAAGTAAAAATGAAGCCATTAGGGGAGCCCCAATCCAAAACAACTTGTGTCCTTACAGGAAGGGGACATTTGGATGCAGATGCTCAAAGATGGAAGGTGGGGTGAAGACACAGGGAGGATGCCACGTGAAGGTGAGGCAGAGACAGGAGGTGCGAAGCCACAAGCCAAGCAGTGTCAGGGGCTATCTGAAGCTGAAGGACGCCAGGGAGGATCTTTCTCCTGTAGGTTTCATGGGGAATGTGGCCTTGCTGCCTCCTTGATTTTGGACTCTAGCCTCGAGAGCTGTGAAATCATAAATTTCTGTCCCTCTTAGCCACGGGGTTTGTGGTACTTTGTTACAACATCTCCGGGAAACTAACGCAGCCGATGTGATACGAGCCCTGAGATGTTGCTTCCAGGCTCCTTGTCAGTCAGACCCAAGTGTGAGCAACGAGCACAGCAGTGCACAGCTGGCCTGCCGGGAAAGCCAGTGGCCTCGGCCCTGGGGAAGCAGGGCTTCTGTTTAACAGCTGAGAACAGGGAGTCTCCGTGCTGCCCTCCTCCCCATCTCCCTCCTCCCCCTCTTCTCGCCTCAGCAGCAAACAAGTGAGCTCGGAGGCTCTTAAACCTTCTATAAACAAACAGAACCCCTTGCTGTTCACTGTTCCAATGTGTCTGGGCAGGGCTGTTTCCTTGTGCTGGGCTGCTGGGCCGTGGAATGTGACCTCTCTCTGTGGAAAGAGCCCAGAACGAGCTTTGCCAGCGGAGTTGGCAGATGCTGAGCTGCCCCCGGTGCAGACACCTGTTGCTTGAGTCTATTTGTGGAGACCTCCTGGGTGCTCACTGCCCCCGGCAGGGCTCGAGTCTCTGACTATGTGAGCCACTTCTGCATCATGGAAATGAGACCTTCCGATTACGAGCCTATCACAGGTTACTGAGGCCTTAGGGGCACACGAACAGATTTAATCCTGGCATCGACTCTATAAAACAGGCAGGGCAGCCCCATTATACTGCTGAGCAAACTGAGGCCCAGATGGATGAAAGGGCTTTTCCCAGGGTCGTAGCATTAATTCATGGTAGGGCTGAGCCTCTCCTGAAACAGGAGCTGCACACGGGAAGAACTAGATGTTGATCTGAGAAACCATAGGGTCAAGGCAGTGGATAGCTGGTGGATGGAGGAAGGGGCTGCTGCCCAAGGGAAGCATTGAGAAACGAGAGATTGGGGGCCAAAGAGCCCCAACTTTGGAGTCAGAACTGAGTTTGAATCCAGGTTCTGCCAAATACTAGCTGCATGGCTGGGCAAATTGCTCTCTGTGCCTTGGTTTATCTGATAAATGAAGAAAATGATTGTACCTACTTCATTAGGTTGTTCTGGCTATTAGGTGACAGGAGACATGTATTTAGGTTGGCGTCCCCCTGTGTGGGACCCACTCACTCAATCACAGGTATGACTGTAGAGCTGGTCATCAGCAGCCCCTAGCACGCTGACCTGGTGGATGCCGGTCCCTCTGTGGTAGGTAGGCTCGATTTTGGAAAGAAGAGGACCACACTGACGAGGGGGTGGGAGGTGGCTCTGGGCCGGCAAAGGCCCTCGCAGCTTGTGAGAGCTGGAGGGCGATAGGGGATCCAAGCCCACAGAGGCTATTCAGCTTACTCTAAGGGCCTGAGAACAAAACAAAACAAAACCTGGTACGAAGTTTCCAAAACGCTCTCAAGTGCTGCCAAGCCTGGATCTGCTTTCTGAGCCACACCTGGGCGGCTTCATCTCCCACTCCCTTCAGAGGCAAAGCGCTGTGACCCTTCGGGTGCAAGAATCAACCCTGAGCAATGTAGCAACCTTGCTTGTTTTCCTAGGGAGGCTCCCGGCTCCCACCCCCGCGCCTCTCATGCAGAGCTGTGCCAAACGGTGAAGAAACAGGGTGGAGATAAAATGCAGGAAGGGGGGGGGGGGAGCGGGGGAGGGGCGCGGTGAGCTCTGCTGATGGTGGGTGTCAACACCGCAGCCCCTCAGGTATTGATTGAATAAGGAGAGTCCTCGACCCTTCACTCTTCTCATGCAGAAACATCTATTCCCTGCCTCTCCTCGAGAGTAGATCTCAGTGACTTCCCTGCTTGAGTCTTCTTTGGCTCCCTGTTGTCTATACCCCATAGAATGACATTAAAATTTCTTAGCCTGGCATTCAAGGCCTTGAGGATCTTGCCTTGGTCTTGCCCTGCAGCCTGTCCCTTGTTGGGTCTACACTCCACACATGAACCTACACTCCAGCCATACCTAGGACATGCAGTTCCTCAAGTGCAACTGGGAATTCCACTCCACCGTGTCTTTGCTCGTGCCCATGGGAAAGACTGTTTCAGTGGAGACATGGTAGCTGCTCGATAAGCATCTGTTGAACCAAATCATAGTTTATTTTTTCCTCTTGTCATCTTCAAAACACACAATAAAAATAAAGGCATAGACACAAATAGCTGTCAAAAGTCTACCTTAAACAACAGGGATAATTGAAATAAATTCCTGATGCTGTCATGTCTATCTCGAGCCAGGGTTGCAGGAGGTTTGTCCTAGCATTACAAACAGCAAATTGGAGCTACTGTCCTGCTTTTTTTTGAGGAAGATTAGCCTTGAGCTAACATCCATTATGTCCCACATCCATGCCCATCTTCCTCTACTTTGTATGTGGGATGCTGCCACAGCACGGCTTGATAAGCAGTGCATAGGTCTGCACCCGGGATCTGGGCTGGTGAACCCCGGGCCACTAAAGTGGAGTGCGTGAACTTAACTGCTAGGCCACTGGGCTAGCCCCCTATTGTCTTGCATTTTGTCTGGAGGCAAACAGCCCTGGAATGGAATATCCCACCCACCACTAGGTTTCATCACTTTTTGCCCCCCACTCCGTTACTTACTCAACCAGAGAACAGATGGCTATGGAAAAAACCTGGTACACCAGAGAATAAGGAGATAAAACAACATTTTGCAAGAGGGCATTTGTTTTTTCTTTGTTGGGGACCAATTCATGCTGCCCCTGATTTGGTGGCCAAAACCATTTTGGATGTAGGCTCTGTGGGTTAAGAAAGACGTGTGTCAGTCCCAAGAGTCTTATAGTGTTAGCTATGGTGGGGTATGTGTCACTTCTCATCTGGGGGCATTTTTGCCCCCCCCCCAGGAATATTTGGCAACGTGCAATGTCTGGAGATGCTCTTCTCCAGATCATCTCGTGACAAGGTTTGGGCAGCGTGTGCATGGCCGAGTGGAGTGAGGCAAGAGAGGGGCCTAGGGTGCAAAATTTAAGGAGGTGTACACTCTTGGGGCTGACCCTGAACTTGCACAATCCAGAGACTGAGGACCTCCTTAAATTTTGCACCCCAGGCTTCTCACTGGCCTGACTTGAGCATGGGAGCGTGTGTAGGAGAAGGAAGAAGGCCAGATATGAGTCAGAGAAAGCATATCTATAGGTCAGGCTGAGTGTAGGAGATCCCAGGAATTGGACAAAGTGGCACGAAGGCCACTGAAGGCCACTTTTGCAGGTGGCATGATTCTGCTCTGACCTCCCTGCCTTGGGGGGATCTGGGCAGAGTGTGTCTTGTGCTTATAGTACCACTGTTTGCTTACCCCGTTTTGCCACGTCCTCTGGAAGCCTTGGCTCTGTCCTGGCCCAGTGACTTCAGTGGAAAGGGTGAGAAAGCAAGGAGCAGTGGTTCTTTTTGTCCCTAAACCAAGCAAGGAAAACAGTGGTCCACACTGTGCCCGGGTCTAGGGCCTCAGTCTTCCTGACTGTCCAGGAGCCCCCCAGGGGCTCCTGGGGACCTTTCCTGGGGGGTGGGGCAGGGTGTCAGCTAACCCAGAGGCCCCAGAAGCTTGCATAGGCCTCTGCATCCTCTGTGAACCCCCTCGGGGGCAGGGCAGACTCAATGTCTTTGAGGAGCCGTCCTGGTTAGTTCTGCCGAGGAGGATGCTGGGCCTTTGGGCAACACAGCCTCCCTGCCTCCTGAGTAGAGCTTAGCAGGAACCTGGAGGGGCAAGACTCTGAGCAGCTCCTCCTGCTGCCTTCTTGGCTCTCCAGCCACACGCCTGTGGTTTAGGCCCAGCGCTGGGGACAGCTGGCTTTGTTTTGGTGTTCAAACCAGGGGGGAAGGACATGGTTTTAACATCAAAAAAATAAATTGTTTCGAGAGAGAGAGAGAGAAGGCTTCCAGAGGGAGCCCTTGAAGGCTCTAACCCTGCCTGCTCCCTCCCCATGTCAGAGAATCAACGCCTGATGGCAGTCAGCAGTCAGCAAGCAGCCCGAGGAAAATGAAGAAGCAGTGTCTCAGGAGTGTGGCCAATTATCCCCAAGATGTTGGGGATCCACATAGCCTCAGTATGGGGGTCTCTGGGACCCCTTTGTTTACCTGGATCCTTGCAGCAAGCCACTTGCTGTTTTTAACACCTGCAGCACATGTCTGGGCCTCCAAATCCTGTGGGGGCTGCTTGAGGGAGCCGGGAGGGAGGAGGGACTCTGGGGGATAGGAGAGAGGTGACAGCTGTCTGCAAATGTTGGATGGTGGAGAAACTTCAATTGGAAATGGGAGAAAATAGACTTCTCTGGGACCTCAGACTATGTAATTAGGACCAGAGATGGCACTAAAAGAGACACATTTTCCTGTAAATATAAGCACAACAACAACAAACCCAACTTTTTTTTTTAGCAGTCAGGGATATCTGCCAATTGTTGTATCTGTGGTCTCAGTCACCTCCTCAGAGGCTCCCATGAACCCCTCTTCCTCTCCTCCATTTAAATTTGATCCTCCCCTCAGTTATTCTGCGCCATCAATCTGTTTATTTCTGGTAAGTTACTTATGAAAGTCATAAATATCATGCCTCTGCCTGCTCGCTTGTTTAGTTTCTGCCTTTCAGTCTGGGTGATAAGCTTCACGAGGGCAGAACTCTTATCGCCTCATTCATCCTTACTTCACCAGGGCCCAGCACGGGGCCTGGCACATAGTAGGAGCTCAAGAAACAGGTGTTGATTGAACAAATGAAGAATGAATGAATACTTCAGGAGGGAATGAATTCCCCACCAGAGGAAGGATTTAAGCAGAGGCTGCGCGGCCAATAGTCAGGGCTGCTGGAAACCCTCCTTCTCCTCCTCGCTGCTTTGGTTTGTTACGCCAGCCGCTGGGATGACCGAACCCAAACTATATGGTGGTTCGGTCCTGACAGAAAGTTGTTTTGCTCGTGTAAAGTCTCAGCTGGCTGTTTCTGATGGGTAGGCAGCTCTTCTCTAGGGTGTGGTTCCAGGATTCAGGCCTCTGTCACCTTGTGGCTCTGTCATCTTCAGTATGTGGCTTTTTAGGTCAACATGCTCAATGGCACACAGCAGTTAGAAGGGAAAAGGGGGATTACAGGCCATGCCCGGAAGAGGGACACATCCCTTCTGCTCACACTCCTTTGCTAGAACTCCATCCTATCTCATTGCGAGGTGTAGGTCATGGCCCGGGAGAGAGTGGGGCTGAGTCTGGTTGATAATCCGTCAGGCTGTGCATGCCTGCATTGGGCAGGAGGTGGGAACAGATGGCTTCAGGGAGCCTCTCCAATTCCCAGCACTTCTGTTTGAAGAGTTCTGTCTCCTTTTTGCAACAACTTGGCAGTTAAGGAGAAGTCAGGTACTAGTCGGCTCTCTTTCTTTTTTAGCTTTGTAATTCTTTTTGTTTTGCTCAAGAATTCCCTTAGGTGTTTCTGCTGTGTCATTATGGGCAGTGAGAACATTTGCTTAGGCAACCACAAAAATGCCCAAGTCAGACAGACCTGCCCAGGAATCCTAGCTTTATCACTCCCTAGGTATGCGGCGTTGGGTGAGTGATCCAACCTCTCTGTGCCTCTACTTTCTCCTCTAGAAAATAAGGACAATAACAGTAATAACGCTGACTTCGTAACATTGTGAAGCTTCAAACAGCAGAGGTAGGTACCATTTATGGTGCATTTACTCCAGGTTGTTGTCCCAAGTGCCTTATTATTATTTTTTTTTTCTTAAAGATTGGCACCTGAGCTAACAACTGCTGTCAATCTTCTTTTTTGTTTTTTCCTTCTTCTTCTCCCCAAAGCCCCCCAGTACATAGCTGTATATTCCTAGTTGTAGGTCCTTCTGGTTGTGCTATGTGGGACGCTGCCTCGGCATGGCTTGATGAGCAGTGCCATGTCCGTGCCCAGGATTCGAACCAGTGAAACCCTGGGCTGCCAAAGCGGAGTGTGTGAACTTAACCACTCGGCCATGGGGCTAGCGCCCCAAATGCCTCATTTTTATCATCTTATTTTAAGTTTTCACAACAACTCTATGAAGTAGATACTATCATCAGCCCTGGTTTTTTTAGAGGAGAATGTGGAATTGCTAAGAGATAAAGCAGCTTGCCTTAAGTCAGGCAGTTAAAAGATTGGGAATGGGGACTTGAATAAAGTCATCCAATTCCAGAGCCCACAAGGTACGGAAAGGAGGTTAGCAATCATGAGTACCACCAGGATGAGTTTTTGTTGCTATTCGCTCTAGAGATCAAGCTAGTCCTAGGCTTACTTATTTGTTATGATTTGCAAAACATTTCACTGTCTATAAAGTGCCTTTATGGCTCTTCACTCGATAGTTCCTCACAGTGACTCTGAGGGACTCTCACTATGGTACTCCTTTCCTGAGGGATAAAAAGGAGCCTCAGAGGCCAAGGGTCACTGGCCCGAGGTCACACAGCCAGAAAACGGTGAAGTTGGCAAACTCTGACTTTTGACAAGGCCGTTGCATTGGTTAAATTCAAGTTAACGTTTGTTAAGCACTTAGAATGCTGCCTGGCACACAGGAAGCCTGATATAAGTGTTTAATAATAAATAAATAAAATAAATATCACACCCCATTGACCTCTTCAACAAATATTTCTCTAGCACCTGTGACCATCTGGGAAATTAAGGGGTTGTAGTTGGGAGCCTGGGTCACTTGTCCCCACCCCCCATCTCCCTTGTACCCAGTGTCCTTAGGTTACCTCTTGGCTGGGCTGGGCTGTTCACCTTCTCCCCTCACTCTGGTCTGCTCTTTTTGGCAGCTCGCTAAGATCTGGACTCCTCCCCACAATTAACAAAAATTTTGGCTTCTCATTGTTCCTGTCTTTCAGGCCCCTGCTTACTAGTCTGATGGAATCATCTTCTACGAAGGTGTTAACTCACAGTGATGTGCTGGGTCACTGTGCCCTCTCAAATCGCTTACTGATATTCTCACAGGGGGCTTCAGTTAACCCCAAGGAAGGATTATTGGCGGAATTTCAGGCCTCTGCACAGGCCAATGAGGGAGACATTTTTGGTTGAGAGGGCCTGAGATCGCACCACAGAAAGTCGTGAAGGAGGAGGGCCAAGGCTGCTCGGGGTGTCCCCTGAGTCCATCCTGACTGCAAGGTTGATGGTGCTTCTCTTTCACCTCTGCCCCCTTCATAAAGGCTCTTTCTTAAGTTGTCTTAGAAGATTCCTAACATTCCTTGTCAAATTGGGCCCCAAATGATTTCTAATGTGTTTTTAATGGAACAGACCCAGAAATTCCCAATGAGGAAATAAAATGGAGAAACATGTATACACTTATTCAACGAGTTTTCTTGAGCCACTCTTACATGTCAGGTGTTGTTTTAGATGCTGAGGAAGCAAGGACGAGCAAGCAAGCCAGGCTCCCAAAGGCTTTGAGATGGCCCGTGAAATGTGGTACTGCCTTTCAAATCTAAAGTGGGAGCCACACCAGGCGATCCCCTAAAGTCCCTTGGGATTTAAGATCTATGATCACATGACATGACAACTTATTATTTTGGTAGTTCACAGAACTCTTTCCTTCTACAGGTAAATACATCATGAAAATGCAGGATGCCGGAGACTTCCCATCACGTCCTGATATCCTCCTCTCATCTTCTAGGTAATAGAACCCCTGATTTATAACTCGGCATTTGGCTGCAGAAAATAAAGATCATATTTTCCATCCTCTTTGGCAGAGGAGAGTGCCCATGTGACTAAATTCTGACCAATGAGATGTGAGCAGAAGCATGTGTGAAACTTCTGGTCGTGCTCTTAAAGGGAAAGGATATGCTCCCTCCCATTTCTTCGTCTTACTGGAGAGAGAGAGGATATGGTGGCGAGCCATCATGAGCCATGTGGATAGAGGCACCGCTCTGCGATAGTGGAGGAACAAGCTAGAGGAAGAGATGTAAACAGCTTCCTTTTGGTTTAAGCTACTGATATTTGAGGGCCTCCATCATAGCACCCAATTAGTTCTATCAATTAGTAAAAAAGTGAAGTTAAAATTTCCTACTGTAATTATTGATTTATCTATGTATTTCTTTGATTCTGTCAATTTTTGTTTCAAGTCTTTTGAAGCTTTTTATGAGGTATTTACATATTTATGATTACCATGTCTTTTTGGTGAATTGACCCTTTGTTATCTTGAAATACCCCTATTTATCTCTGGTATCACATTTTTTGGTCTCAAAATATGTCTAATTTTAATTTAATGTAGCCACTCTAGCCTTCTTATGCTTACTATATGCCTGGTACAGGCGTTTACTCCATGGATGTGCATAGGACATCCAACTGTTTTCAACTTATATGTGTCTTTATGTTTAAAGTGTGAGTTGCAGGTAGCATATGGTCTAATCTTGGTTTTATATCCATTCTGATAATTTAGTTGGAGTGTTTAGTCCATTACATTTTTAATTAAGACGGTTTTAGAGTTACAAAAGGATTGTAAAGATAATCCAGAGACTTCCAACATATTGCACAACGAGTTTCTCCTATTAAGTAACATCTTACATTAGTGGCCCATTACTTTTAATATAATTATTGATATGGTTGGATTGAGATCTACCATTTCAATATTTGATTTCTGTTTTTTATTCTTCTTGTCTTCTTTTGGGTTATTTTAATTTTAGAATCCCCACTTAACGTCTCCATTGGCTTTTTAGCTCTACCCCTTTGCATTACATTTTTACTGTTTACTCTAAGGAACTGCAATACAAATTTTTCACTTTTCAGAGTTTAATTAGAGTTAATACTGTGCCTCTGCATGTAAAACATAGAACACTTGCAATGATATAGTTCCATTTACCCCCCACACTCTGCCACCCTTTGTGCTATAGTTGTCATACGTAGTCTATGTACTCATGTTATAAACACTGCAAGACAATATTATTCTTTTTCCTTAAACTGTCATATGCATTTAAAGAAATAGCTTTTTTATTTATCCAGATGTTTACCATTTCTGCTGCCCTTAATTCCCTCCTGAAGATTTGAGTTTTCCTCTGGTATCGTTTCCTTTAAGCTTGATGAACTTCCTTTATCATTTCTTGTAGTACAAGTGTGCTGGCTGCAAATTGTCTTAATTTTCTTTTAACTGAAAATGTCATGTCAGCCCCCTTTTTGAAGAGGTTGTATATAAAATTATGTCCCTGGATATAGCATTTTGGATTGATAGTTTTTTGCTTGTAGCATTTGAAAGATACTGCTCCCTTATTTTCTGACCACCATGATTTCTGGTAAGAAGTTCATGGTCATTTGAGTTATTGGTCCCTTTCACATAATGTGCTGTTTTTCTCTGGCTTTCAAGATTCTCTTGTTGTATTTGTTTTCCAGCAATTAACTACAATGTGTTAGGCAATTTTTCCCTTCTGTTTCGATTTTGTTGAGTATTTTGCATCTATAAATTTATGGTGTTTGGCCAAACTTATAAAGTTTTCAGTCATTATTTCTTTTCATATTTTTTCCACTCCATTTTTTTTATCTTTTCCTTCTGAGAACCCAATTACACATATATTAGATCTTTTGATATTATCCTACAGTTCTGTGAGTCCATGTTCATTTTTTTAAATCTTATTTTTCTCTCTCTTTTAGATTGCATAATTTCTATTGCTCTGTCTTCAAGTTTACCAATGCTTTTCTGTCAACTCCATTTGCTATTAAACTCATCCAATGATTTTTTTAAAATTTCAGATATTATGGGGCTGACCCCGTGGCCGAGTGGTTAAGTTCGTGTGCTCTGCTGCAGGCGGCCCAGTGTTTCGTTGGTTTGAATCCTGGGCGCGGACATGGCACTGCTCATCAAACCATGCTGAGGCAGCGTCCCACATGCCACAACTAGAAGGACCCACAACAAAGAATATACAACTATGTACCAGGGGTCTTTGGGGAGAAAAAGGAAAAAAAATAAAATCTTTAAAAAAAAATTTCAGATATTATATTTTTCAGTTCTAGAGTTGCCATTGAGTTTAAAAATATTTTCCGTTTATCTACTTAGATTTTTATTCATTATAGGGGTATTTTTTTCTTGTTTATTGTGGTTATATTAGCTGCTTTAAACTCCTTGTTTGATAATTCCAACATCTGGGTCATCTTGGGGCTTGGTCATCCCTAGAGAATGATTCTCATTTTCCTGGTTCTTCATCTCTTGCGTAATTTTGAACTATATCCTGGGGATTACAAATGCTACATTGTGAAGACTCGGGATTCTGTTATACTCCCTGAAAGAGTGCAGATGTTTTTGTTTCAGTTGGCAATTAACTTGTTTAGACTTGAACTACAATTATTGCCTGTAATGGGTGGCAGCTCAGATGTTGGTCCAGTTTTAGCCACAAGATGCTATGTGTCTGCTTCACATGTGTGGTGTAGGGGTTAGCCAGATACTTAGAAAGGGTTTTTACATAGAATTTGGGGCACCCCTTTTCTGGCCCTCTCTTTTCTGAGTTTTTTCCCTCACTGTCTAGTAACTGTGGTTGACTAGTCTCTGACCTCTGTTTCTTCAGGTTAGAAAGATGGTGGGTTTTCTTTGTAGTTTTAACTGCTTCACGTGGCACCACTTCTTAGGTCTCACCTAAGGCTAAAGCTATAAAAACTAGAAACTCTCTGTGTAGTAGTCCCTTCTTCCAAGTTTTGATTTTTCTCTAAAGTATGCCTACTGTAGGGGAGGAAGACATTTCCTCTACCCGCTCTGGGTGCTTCTGGCTGGAGAACGAATTAAAATCACTTGAGACAGAATAACAGGAGAAAATTAAACAAAGCTTTATAACATGTATACATGGGAGAGGCTCAGGCAAACTGTGCAACTCACCCAAATGGCTGAAGCCACCACCTTAAATATCATCTTCAGCTAAAGACAAGGAGGATGTTGGGGGTGGGGGAGTCAGTTATGGGAGATTACCAGACAAACACAGTAAACAAGAGTAAGATTATTATGCAGATGTAAGTCCTTGCCTGATTGATTAAGAGTTTCTAGAGATAAGCTCATCCTCCCTTCTTCCTGGTACAGAGAGGGAGACACTGTTATAGATGGAGATTTCCTTTACAAAGGTAACTGTCTCTTAACAAAGGGTAAGTAAATTCTACTTCTCAGAGTTTCTTTCCTGTGCGCAGTTTTTTAAAAATAACCAGCCGCAAATAATCCTCATGCCAAAGAGACATATCTTGGGGTGGCCAATTCCAGTCCCCCATACTACTTTTGTTCACTTTCTGGAGTCTTCTGATAGTTGTTTTAAACATGTTCTTGAGAGTTTATAGTTGGTGTTTGGAGGATGGTCAGACTGTTAGAAATTTAATTTGCATACCAACATGGAACTCTGGAGCTCTGAATGTGTTAACTTTTTGTACGTATATCTCAAACTATTTGAAAGAAACTAAAAATTCTGAACTTATGTTATGGGACATCAACTTAATGGCATATTGTGCAGGCATTAAAAATAATTAAGACCAAGAGCAAGCAAGCAACACATTTATGTTTAAGTAAAATTTTCATGATATAAAATCATATCTCCACTTTGATTGCAGCTGTGTGCAAATTTATGACTATACGTAGAAAAGAGTTGGAAAAAAACTCAAAGAAAATAATTTTTTTATGGAATGTAGTCTCTATTCTTTGTCTCTTTAAAAAGCATTTCTGTTGTCCATACAATAAATTTCAATGATGTTAAAAATAATTCAGGGAGAGAAAAATTAGATTCAAACACTATACTGAATTTTGAACAGAGAATTGGAGGAAATGGGAAATGAAACAGCCTGATTCAGGGCAGGGTGTGAAGTGTCACTGACCGAGGCTTCCGGGAGATGGGGAGAGAAGCAGACACCAGGCAGGTTTGGAAATCACACATACCTTGGGGCTTGGAATGCATCCCCTTTCCTCTGAGAGCCAAGTCCTCTGCTCTGGTGGGAAACATAACTTCCTCCTTGAAAGACAAGTAGTTCAGAGAAACTCCAAAAGTTGTAGACTTCAAGCAGGCCCTACAAAACATGGTAATAAGTTTGAGGAAGCGGATCAGAAACATATGGATTAAATTTCTCCTGAAATTACATAGAGATTTTAATAGACAGCAAAGAACATTCTCAAGGGAACAAGCATGTTTTGGCGTTCCTTACTCAAGGTCCAAACATTTTGAGAGATGCTTTTGAATAGTTTCTTAAAAAAAACAAAAGAACTCCTCCAAACCCTCCTTTGTCTCAGAACTTGGAAAGCAAGCTGAATTATGACGTCTTTTCCACAGCTTGTCCTCAACCACTCTTTCTATATAACAAAGGGTTTTCCTGGTATGATGCTGCCTCAGTGGAGGTCAAAGGAAAAAAATGCCCTGTCTTCAAGGTTTGTCCTTTGCCGTTCACCACCTCTGGGAGCCAGGAGAGGCTATTTTGTAGCACGAACTTTAGTTTCCTCGTCTGTAAGATAGGGCTACTGTACCTTCTTTGCAGAGTTGTAGATGAGAGATGATACCTGCAATGTCTCTGTATAAAATTTCTGACCCATCGTTAACCCTGGATAAGGCCCTGGCAATTATTATTATTACATTGCTAAATAAATCTGTCCATGCAGCATAGGATTTTTCTTATTCCCTCAACATATAGTCATAGTAATCTTTTTCTAGTTAAATTACTATGTATTGTTGGCATTAGAAGAAGGGAGAAGCTGAGGATTGAGCTAGAAAATTGGAAAAATATGCTATTTTTAAGTCATCAGAACTGGGTTCAAATTCTACCTCTACCAGTTGTTAACTATTGACTTTGTCAAAGGATTTAACTTCTCTTTCATCAGTAAAATGGGAACAATAGCACTTGCCTTTTAGTGTTGTGAAGATGAAATGAAACGATAGATGAAAACTGATGGGCATAGTACCTGAATGTAGTAATTGCTCAACAAATGGTAACTGTCATCATCATCATCATCATCAATGTTCTATTAGATGGCAAATACACTTTACTTTCCTTACTCTTCCCTACCTTAAATATCCCAGTCTACTTAGTTACCAAAAATAATCATTTAAAATAAAACGTTACATACAAATATGCTAGATACTTGGCTTCTTCCTTTCTTCTCTTCTTGGGTCAACTTTACTTAACATTACCCTTCACATTTATCCTGAAGAAGCAATTGCAGCTACTTGTTGCTGGAAAGATGGTGTCTAACCATAGATTCCTTACAATTAAATTCATTACTATCACGGAATTGAAAAGTGTTGATGTCCTAGTGAATGATCATTGGGTGAGCCACGTTCATGCTTCTCCACTTGAAGCCTGGGATTCTAGGGCCCTGATTCTACAAAAGGCACAGGTGATTCTAGGTATAAATTTAACTTCTGTATCTCCTTGAGAAGTCTGTTGGAAGTGGTCATAGCATAGAAGTGCTGGAAGTCACCTTGTAGGCAATCTTTTGATAGTTATCTATTGATCACCTGCTTTGTTCTCAATATGGTGCTAAACACGAGGACTAAAAAGGAAAATGCGTCTTACACATACAGTCCCTGACCTCAGGGAGCTCACAACCTAAGTAGGATGTTAAAGGCTACTAAAATGCAGAACTTCCCCAAGGAGTAATATCTTTGGCAGGAGACATTAATTAGGGATAAAAGGGGCAGGTAGGCTAGAGGACAAAGGAGGGGAAGATCTAGGGGTACTTTAAATGAATTACCTCATTTAATTCTTGTAATGTCCTATGACACATGGACTTTATTATCTCCATTTAGCAGATGAAGAAATCAAGGCCCAGAAATGTTATATAATCTCTTATACTTAAAAAAAAGAAAAAAAATAGCAACTCTATGATTGTGCTGGAAGTCAGACCCAGAAAGAAATGATCCTTCTAATTTAGAGAAGAAAAGAGAAGGACTAGCCTTTCCACTTTGCCCATCTGTAAAATGGGTTAATAGCTACTAACAAGCAAAGAGCAGAAGAGACAAAGTGAGATCCTCTATGGGAGGAAATATATAAATATATATTTGGGTTAGAATACTATAAAAATGTTACAGTTCATACTCAGTTCTGAGCTCGAAGCTCTTTCTTCTTTCTGTGACAACTTCCCTAAATCGAGCTGGCTTCTCCAAGAGTGCCCTGAATGTACTAAAACATCACCCCACTCCACATAGTAAAACACCATCCAGTCTACGTGCAGATCATTTTTCCAATAATGTTACAGTGACAAAAATCAACAAGTTTCTTGTTGGAACATCTTGGTCATTAAAAATACATTAATAGCTCATTATTCAAGATACTGTACTAATTCTGCTCATTTCCTATTGAAACTTATTAAATACTAAGAGCATAATCAACCAGAAGTAGTGTTCGGTGGCCACAAAGAGTATGCTCCATTAAAGAAAAAAAAATAATTAGGAGCAAAATGGAAATTATAATACATTGTATTTGTCTGGCACTGAGCTCCTCTAATGGTTGAATGGCTTTGTAACTCTTATAGAAAAGGGTTGAGGATGCGATATGTTCGAAAGTACAGTGAAAGGAGTGTGTGTGTATGTGTATGGCACAAACAATAGGGTCTTAAGGGCTTTTTAGAATTCTTCAGAAAACAAAGAGTGCTAAAAGTGCATCTGCAATGGATTTTTTCTCTGTTTATTCCCCCTCATATTTTGATATCTATACATCTAAATGATCAGAACCAACGCTGAACTACCTCGCAACCAGAATTCTCCACTCTACTACAGATTAGCAGTGTGACTTTGGGTATTCTTAATGCTTTATTTGGCCTCCACACTTGACTATCAGATTTTAGGTGTCATTCT